GTTGGGTAGGTGGTCCTCCGCAGTTAATCATGAAAGTTATTTGAGAAGAGTAAATAAACAGCTCAAGGCACTACCCTTAACATTATGCACAATACTGTTACTTAAACATCTACCATTTTTCAAGTATATTAGCTTTATAAACTGCTGAGTTGTTTTCTAGTTTTGCTTCATTTAGTCTTTTTTTTGTTTTGTCAAAGAACATTTTATCTTCATATTTGTAAATTTACAATGTGTGAAAGCCAAATTACAAACTTAAAAACCAAAAGGGAGATGATGTATTAAAGAATGAAATGTATACCACACATTTCCTTTAACTTAATGGATTGTATCTCTCTGTATGATGCAATGTTCAAACTAAAGATTCACAGATTAAAATGAAAGGAAAATTCAAACAGAAGATGATGCTTTTAAATACATTTGACACATAAAATCAATTGTTACTGATGAGGATATAAATTATTAAAAAAAACTTCTGAATCTCAAAATAATTTTATTCAACTGCCAGTATTTTCAAGTTATTCAGTTTCATTGAAACCAAAATACTTGAAAAATGTTGTATAAGCTTAGTACAGAAATGGCTTTATTGAATTATTAATAAATACCAAACCCTTTTACTTCAGGAAATGGGAGTTGGCTAATAGAAGAAACGTGCATGAAAAATTTGGGGGAATTTTATAAAACTGTGATAAAAATGTTGACCATTACACTTTACATGAGTAAATTTTATGCCATATGAATTATATCAATTTTTAAATTGCTCATTATACTATTATTTAGTGTCCAATCAAAAGGAACCATGGGACTGTGGATTACCAAAAGAGTTGGAAACTTTAATTCTTCATAAACTAATACTGCAGAAATAAAATTAGTCTAGAGAGATACATAATTAATTTCTTAGATTTTTCTATGTCTCAAGTGTTAGTGCTGCCCTGACTACTGGCTAAGTGGTAGATCCCAAAAATTTTGTGTTTGAATTTCCTGAGATGTCAGTTTATTATGTAATGTGAATCAACAAAATGGCAAAATAGAAAGTCCCAGATCTTCCTTTCCCTACTGAAACCCTAAGTTGACAACAATACACCAAGTAACTCTCTTTTTAAAAAAAAAAATCCAGAAACCAATTAAGAGGCTCAAAACCACAATAACTTATCAGATTACACTTGCTAAAATGGCCAGTCTCCAAAAACAAAAGCAGACGACAGCACATGCTAAGAAGATACAGAGAAATGAACTCTTGTACATTGTTGGTGGGAAGGCAAAATGGGGTAGCCATTATAGAAAACAATATGGAGGTTCATTTAAAAATAGAACTATGATATAATCCAGCAATCCCAATGCTGGGTTGATCAAAAAAGATCTCAATGAGATAACTGCACTCACTTGTTCACTGCAGCATTATCTATAACAGCCAAGAGGTGGAAATGACCTAAATATCCATCTGCAAATGGATGGATAAAGAAACTGTGGTATACACTTACAAAGGCACATTGTTCAGCCTAATAAAAGAGGAAGTACTGTCTTCTGCTACAGCACTGATAAATGTAGAAGACATGCTAAGTGAAATGAGCCAGTCAAGGAAGAAGAAAGCACACTTACTTCTACGTAGTACCTAAAATAGTCAAATTCATAGAAGCAAAAAGTAGAATGGTCATTTCCAGGAGCTGAAGGGAAGAAGCTATGGGGGTGGCTGCTCAATGGACATGGAGTTTTAGTGAAGCAAGATGAAAAAGTTCTAGGTATTTGCTGAACATCAAAGGGCACATTACTTGTACTGTACACTAAAAGTTTGTAATGAAGATGTGTTTCCTGTTAACTTTTTAAAAATAATTCAAGAAAAACATGAATCAGAAATGAGTGAGTTAATATTCCACTGAGAAGGGGGAAGTCAAGAACCTTACTTCTGTTCTTACCTAGGTGAAAGACCATATGATTTCCACAGAGAAAAGTGAAATCTGGATGTTTAAGTTCTTCTGCCTTGGAAATTTACCTCAAAGAGCCTTGCACAGCTCAAGAGAAGATGGACAAAGAAGCTGTAGCCTCCTCATAACCCTAGAAAATGTCATGGTGAAAATTTTAAGTATAAATTAAAGGATATATTTTAGATTCCTGTTTAAATTCAAGCCCAGCCTGAGGAACTCAGTGACTTAGGAACATCTTGTCTCAAAATAAAGATAAAAATGGTGTACGGATACAGCTCAGTGAGAAGGCCCTGGGTTTGATCCCCAATACTGCAAAAACAAAAAAAGTTTGAGGGAAAACTGAATTAAAATTGGCTCTAAAAACTGAATTATAAATTTGAATGTGTGTTGTGAGGTACAGACGTTAGACCAGCATTTCTTTGGTTCTCTCCAAGCCAAAGTTCTGAGGGATCCAACATTCTGACTCTGTTTCCTGAATGTTGTCTCAATACATGAAAAGAGCTGTAAAGATTCAGTTTGGGAAGATTTAGTTTGCCATGTATCTTCAGATATTCTTTAAAATTGACATAGAATTATTAAAATACAATGAAGGCATTACATCATATACCTATACTTTCCCTTTTCCTTTGGCAATATATGCTTATCCTACCTGTACTTTGGAAATATACATGGATCTTACCCACATTTGAAAAAAGTCATGAAGTCCTTTTTTCTCCCAATTGTGCTTTAACTTTTTATCTTCTTTTAAATATGTAAATAAGTACTGGATATGAATGGTATGGTACTATAAATTTTGCAAACTTTATACTTTTATGTAATTATATAAAAACTCTATTGTCATACCCATCAAAAGGATATTCTTATGTGTCAACATTTGTTCTGCAGTTCACTGAGACTGTACAATCCTGTCTCTCACCTTTTACCTATTAAATTCATCCCTGGAGAAAGTGCTCAGCCAGCCACTAGTGCCTGACAACTCTGCATACATAGGTGACCCTCTCCGTTGTATAGGGCTGTCTTATCACACCATTTATGTTTTCCCACTTCTCAAGCTATTGTTTTGAAGTTTTCCTGATATGCTTCCTTGTTAACAAAATGTAGCTGTGCTGGGTCAGCCAGGTTACAGATTTAGTCAGCTAATAACAACGAATTGGGGCTGGGGATTTAGCTCAGCGGCACAGTGCCTGCCTGGCAAGCGCAAGGTCGTGAGTTCTATTCCCCATACCAGAAACTGCCCCCACCCCCTGCCGCCGCAAAAAACAATGAATTATCTCAAGGATGAGTGAGTGATAGTAATTTCAAGTATGAGTCTTCCAGATAACACCTAGACCTCAAAGGTCCACACAAACTCCTGCTTAGGTTATTCAATCTTAAATACTGGGGAGAAAAAGACATTTAGTTAAAACTTGCTATTTCTGACATTTTAAAATATTTGAAACATATATGTAACATTTTTAAATCAGAGTATTTATTAAAGCTGTTGAATGTATCTGCAGTGCATTCTAACAATTTTATTAGGGTCTTTTCGTGACCGTAAGATGTATAAGCTCTGCTTTGGACAAATATCATGGAGCAATATAATATGAAGGGAGCTACGCACAAAGGTGAAGAACACAGCAGTTCAAATCACTGCTGCTTACCTCTGGAGGACCTCTGACTGGAGGGTTACACCATGTGTTGGTTTGGGGGATATTTTGCAAGGAACAATGTAATACAGGACACATATTTTATAAGATTATTTATAATAGTCACCCAAAGAATGATATACACGACAGTGCAGGAAATCTGTCCACACACTAAGACCAAGGAATCCAGCTGACAGCCTGGATCCCACGGAAACGTCCTGCATGAGTCCAGCTGAAGGCCTAGAGCTCATAAAAAGCCTCCCACGAGTCCACCTGGAGGCCTAGAGCCTGTAACAATATCTCATGCAGGCCTGTTTCACAGATCTGCACTGGGAAGGCCCAAAGGTCAGTGGTCGAATCTAAAAAGTCTGTGCCAGTGGGATGAAGGATCTGTGCTAGCAGGATGAGAGATCTGCACTGGAGCCAGGAAGCGAAGCTCGGAAGAACCAGAGCTCCCCCGAAAGGTACCACAGCCATCCTCAGCAACAGTAAGGTCCCAAGCTCCTCCTATGATCAAGATGGCTGAGTTCCCATCAGGGAAGCCAATGCGGCAAGCTTCTCCAGGAGACTGGCAGTGCACCATCCTCCCCTCTGGAGCCAGGAAGTGATGCTCAAAGTGAGGACCAGAGCTCCCCTAAAGTGAATCAAAACCATTCCCAGTGCCAACAAGGTCCCAAGCTCCTCAAAGGATGTAAACAGCCAAGTTCATCAGGAAAGCCAGCATGACAACCTCTTCCAACAGAACCAACAGCTTCTACCAGCTCCCAACAGCTTTTCTTCTTCTCCAGTTCTGCCTCTTATACTGCTGGCAACAGTCCCCAGGTGGGCCTCCCACACCCAGCACCATGCTTACTGAGTTCAGCTGGGGGTTATAAGTTGATCACCAGTTGTCAATTCATTACACACCACCCACCTAAACCCCAGATTCCTTAATTATATATATATATATATAATTTTTTTTTTTTTTTTTGCCAGTACCAGGAATCAAACTCACGACCTTGTGCTTGCCAGGCAGGCATTGTGCTGCTGGGCTAAATCCCCAGCCCCAGCTTCCTTAATTATAAAATGGGGATCATAATAGAGAATTATGAGAACTAAGTGAAAAATGCAAATAAAGCACTTGCCTAGTAAGTACATAAAGAACTCAATATATCTTAGTATTATTAAACAGTAAGTTGTCTACTAAACATATTTTAAGTTTTATCAACAGTAATGACTATAATTTTTTAAAATTAAACAACTATTGTGGCAGCTATTTTGACTTACTATGTTTTGGTTATTATATTTAAAATGAGTATGATTTGTTTCCTTCTGACTACAGAAAATATACGCTTACTGACTTTCAAATTATAAACAAAATTATAAAGGAAAAGGGGAAATAACTCATTTAAACCACAAAGAGATTTATATTATTATTACTTTAATATATTCTGAAACACTCTTATTTGATAACAGGATCATTCTACCGTATGTTTATCTTTGGTTTGGTTGATATATAATTGTGGAGCTCTTGTTTCAGGACCTATATTCATAAAACAGCTATAAAAATGAAAAGACAGCTCTTGATTCTTGAAACAAGAGACTAGAGATGAAGATTCTAGCCTCAACCTGCTGGAGTCCACTCTTTCCCAAGAAATGCTACATCTCAGTTTCTGTATCTGTGAAAAAATCATATATATTAAAGGAGTGAATGTACAATGTACTTTAAACAGTGTCTGGTGCATAAGTGGTATGTAAAAGATATTATCATACATGGCATGCAAAGGTGCCCCAGATATATGGTTACATAAATAAAAAGCAACTCATAGAATTAACTATGTGTAATTTTAACCCATCTGTGTAAGAATAAAAAGTAGATAATAATATATCTATTTACATATGTACAGAAGCACAAAAATATTTGAAGAGCTATACATAAAATTGCTAACACAATTATCTCAGAGGGAGATTTCTACTGGCTCTATAATGTTTCAATTATTAAACATAATTATGTATTGTACTATTACAAAATCTATAAAAATGGATCAATTTTAAAACTACACTTTTGAGGTGAAAAGATGAAAAAAGAAGACAGAGAATCAACAAAACCCTTGGTTTCCCGAAAGATGATAACAGTGATTAGATCATCATGGTAAGAAGGTTTAAAGCTTACAATATTGATAGAAGTATGTTATAGCAAACCCAAAGTTATAATTTCCTCTTCTAAGGAAAAATTATTCATGTGATTTAAAGAAAAACATACAAGAGGAAAAGAGAACTTCTAACTACTTTTCAAAATGTTTCCAGGGTGGTGGTGGCACTGGCCTTTAATCCCAGCTACTTTGAGGGCTGAGACCGAAAGATCATGTCAGAGACCAGCCTAGGTGGTTTACTCAGATCCTGTCTCAAAATAAGAAAAGAAAAGGGCTGAGCATGCAGCTCAACACTCCCTGAGTTCAATCCCCAGTAACACAGGACAAAGAAATTGCTAATACATACAAGACAGGTGTGGTGGTACATACCTATAGTCCCAGGTACTGCAGAGGGTACAGCAAACAGGATCACTTTGAGCCGAGGAGTTCAAGGCCAGCTAGGGCAGTCCAGCAAGATCACGTCTCAACACAAAACAAAACAAAACAAAACAAAACAAAACAGAACAAAACAAAACAAAACAAAACCCCAAGCTTGTTGCATTTAAGACTGATCACTCTGGCAATAGCATAGAAAAGTGGCTGAAACTTAAAAGTACTAAATAATTAAACAAGCATAACTTATTTCACCTTTATATTACTGGGGCAAGGATGCCATAGCAAGCTTTAAATACCTTTAATTCCCAAATTATGTATATTCCGCCTGGCTTGTAGAGGAATAATCTTTATAAGACTTCAAGTTGTAACATGAAGTTTCAGAATTGTGTTTACTATGGTATTCCAGACTTTCTCTCTAGGAATGAATACAGTGCCAAACGGTGAGTTACTTCATCAATCTAATGTGTCTACTCAACATAAAATAGGGAAAATACCCTATGAGGATTAAAGGAGAATAGGTGGGAATTCACACAGAACATGAGAACAGTGGTACTTGGTTATCTATTTGTTTACATGATAGCCTACAAAAAATAATAAATGTGTATTGATGTTATTTAGTCCAGTCAGTACAGACTGTGATTTTAGCACTTGAGAAACATACAGATAGCTTGAACTGAATTCTTGGAAAGTCAAAAATTACTATATCTTAGCTCTCCCAAATGCCATTTCTGTCCAGTATGTCTCTCTCAAATGTCACCAGTTACATACTATAGCCCAAGCTGATGACTGAACTGCATCTATTGTGATGTCATAAAGAACGTTATGGTAATGTGTCACGTCAGATTTTTCAGGCTACAGCTTAAAGAGTACTTTCTTTTTGTGGAGTAAAGCCTACCACGTTATGAAATATGAAACTGAAGAATTACTACATAACTAACTGATTTTATTACGGCTGCCTTAGGAAGCAATGAGTAGACACTTCAAATTATGTCATAAGACCTCTTTTCCAAATGGCAACCTGTTCTGCCATCTCATTGACAAAATTATTAAGAGACCCTCCTTACAATTTTTGGGTCAGTGGGGATACCACTGTTATGAACCTAGGATTTACAGAACACTGGCAAAAATCCTGAGGTATGTGGACTTGGACGGGTTTGACCTGCTTCTCACAGATTATATTGCTTTTGTGGAAAAATCAGGATACCGTTTTGAACTAAGTTTTCATCTTGAATTTACTGAAATATGTGTGAATACGATTTTGTACTGGGTTTTTGCCAGAAAAGGTAATCCTGACTTTGTAGAACTGCTTCTCAAGAAGACAAAGGACTACCTTCAAGACAGAAGTTCTCACCTGGCACTAATATGGAGGTAATATTCTCATATGTTTTTACCATAGAAAGAAAAAGTTATCTTTAGGAGTTTACAGTACTTCTTTCTACAACTAATATGTATAGGAATTGTATATGGGTCAGGAAACTTGACTTAATTGCTCATTTGTTCACTCCTTTATCTCATCACTGTGTTTTTACTAAATGTGATCTATAAACACATTATTGTATACCAGGAAATTATTAGGGGTTCTTCTCTGTACAGTTTACCTGTCATTGCTAAATGTAGTACAGTGTTAGAAAATGCAGGTTTCTCTGTTCACACTTTCTTTTATGTAATACTGTGGTCTCTTCTTTTGAGAACATGGAGAGGATATACAGTATTTATGTAAATTGACTCGCAAAGCACAGTTCAGAATATATACACATGTTCACTTAATAATATTTATTAAACACAACTGTTCTCAATTTTTATGTTAAACACGGATAAATTTGACTCTGATTCTGTAAAACTGAGTAAAATAAAAACAAGTCCCTGATGCCATCTGTTATAAGGCCACATAATCCCCTATCTATCTACCCAGTGACTACTACTGAAGATCTTATGAAAACAAAATCTCCATTGTGACCTCTTTATAGAGTCTTTAATAGACATTCTGAAGTTACCTAGTTTGTACTAAGTCTAATTTATTCTTTTGTTTTAGGTATTAGTATAATTAGAAAAGATGAGCATTTATTCATTAGTTCAATAAAATATTTATTGATCACCTTACAATGTGCACAGCACTGTACTATGAAGAATGACACGCGCAGGTATGCAAGGAAAAACAAAGCAGATAGGATCAGATGAGATCCAACCAGCTTAGCTTCTGCCTGAGATGGATTTTTCCTAATTATATATCACAGTGCTATTGGACAGCGCGTGGGTTGTGTCCTTTTATGATTCCATGGACTGACAGCTGTGGTTTGGAACTATCAATAAATAAAACCTCCAAATAGTACTTTTATTCTTTTAAGGAATCATTATATATGTAACTGCAGCAGAGATCAGCAATTTCTAAAGCCAAAGGTCAGCAGCTGGGCTAAGTCATGGGTAAATAGAGCCTTGGCAGGCCCATGGGAAAGACAGAGAAAATTAAAAGAATTAATTATGGAGCAGGAGAAAGAAAATTGAAAGAAAAAAATGAAAGAAAGAAACAAAAAGCGGAACACGACCGAGGGCCATTAACAACTTTGGAGTTGGGGGATGGCTGCCGAGTATGGAAACCAGGATCTCACACAGGCTTGGCAAGTCCTTTACAACCAACCCATAAATTCCCAGGCCTCACTAACAGTTTAAGGGACACTTTTAACATTAACACATTTTGACTTGGATGCACTCACAATGTAAAATTCATTATAGGCCAATTCTCCGTACCACAACATAAGTCGGATCTTTCAGAATCACAGAATTGCCGGGGATATAGCTCAGTGGCATAAGCACCTGCCTGGGAAGCACAAGGTCCTGAGTTTGATTCCCGGTACCAAAAGAAAAAAAAAAAATTAAAAAAAAAAAGACCAACAGAATCACAGAATTTTAGATTTGAATGGAGCCTGAGAATTTATTGGCAAATATTTATTCTGGGTAGCAGCCTCTTGCAGAGTATCTTTGGCTGATGCTCACTGGTCCCTGCTTGAACAACTCTGGTAGAAGTGAGTTCACTCTTTCCTGAGATAAATCAGTCCTTTGTCTAGAGTCCTGATTCCCAGCTATACACTTTCCCCAAAGGGTTACCGGGTCCCAGCGCTGTATGTATACGCAAGCGACTTTCAGATCTTTATCTACAGCCCTGGCCCCTCTCCTGCTGTCTACCTGACATTGCCACATACCATCTCAAACTTAACAAAAACAAAGCAATATTCACCTAACTCTTCCTTCCCTCTGCCTGCACACTGCTCCTTCCCCTGAATTACCACCTGGTTCACAGCCTCTTGCTCTGGGCAAAAATTCTTGATTCTTTTCTTTCCTTCACCAACACATCAGCTCAACTTTATCTTTAAAACATATCCATCCTAACTAGCTCTACTTCTTTTCAACTCCTCCATTTCTAACCTGGGCAAAGCCTAGATAATGGCATTAGATTCTCAAAGTCTCCCAATCCCTATAACCTATTTTTGACTTGGACGTCAGAGTGACCTTTGAAAAATATAAAATAGCTCACATCACCCATGCTTAAAGTTGTGCGGTTTTCCTACTACAAAGTTATCAAACATTACCCCTTTTGATAAAACTAAATGAATGGCCCCTCAATATTTCTCCCAGACAAAGTCTTCTGTTCCTCTCTCTTGATCTTTATAGCTCAGCCCCACAGACTTTCTGTCTCTTGGACATTTTTAAATTTTATTCCTACCTTGAGGTCTTTTAACTGCTCCTGTAGGCTGCAAATCTCTTCCCTTGTATCACCCTATGGCTAGCTCCTTTAGTCAGCTGCATTACAGTGTAAATATCACCTCCTCAGAGAGGCTCTCTCTAGTTACCCATTCTAAAGAGGTCACTCAGTCATTATCATAGACTTGTAGTTCATTTTCTGCACAGCACTCATCACTGATCTTTGTATTCGCTGTTCATTTGCTTTATTGACTGGTTTGTTCACTCTCTTTCACTACAAGTAAATCTCATAAGAGCAGGATCCTTGACTGCTGCTTCATTTCAGTGTCTAGAACTTTGCCAGATACATAGCAAGTGCTTCCTGAAAATTCCGTTGAAGTGAATTTTGATACAGTCTTATTTGATTCTTCTTCTTCATAGTATGCTGAAATCTGCCTCCATTTCTCCAGTTCTGCCCATATAGCTACAAAGAACAAGGGCTGGGGATATAGCTCAACGGTACAGTGCCTACCTGGCAAGTGTGAAGTCTTAGTTTGATTCCCTGTACCAAAAAATTTTTTAAAAAAATTTAAAAAAGAGAACAGTCGACCTGTCTTCTCCCCTACACAAAACACTCTCAAATATTTGAACACAGCTATTATGTATTGATAATTACCTTAATTTTCCTACTATCTGTTGTTCTTTATTTCTAAACAACATCATGCTTTAGTCACCCTTCTCTGTATATAATACAGTTTGATAATTTTCCTATTATAATGATGTGTATTTACATAGCCCCTGGTGGAGATAGAATTACTAAGAGAAAGGAACTTGTTTGCTCCTTTTTTACAGCAAACCTACAATAAACATTCAAATGGCCCCATATGACAGATTGTAAGGAGTTAGAGATGTCATTGGTTACACTAACAATCATTTATTAAGCATTTCCTAAGTGTCAGACATTATGTTATTTTTTTAGAGATACAAAAACAAGACATATTTCCTGGTTTTAGAGATCTAACATAATAATGAGACATGGATGTAAAAAAAAACTTAATTATGTCGTTAAGCGTGAAAATAGAAGCATGTGGAGACAGAGCAGAAATGGAAACTGTTAACACTAGTAGGGAGAATATGTATCTGAGAAAGCTCTTTAGAAGGAAGGATGTCTTAAATTGATTTAATTTTTATTAATACATGTTTGCCATGCATAATGATTTCAGTGTGGGGAATTGATGCACGCACACAAAACATTTTAATTCTTTTTACATCCCCTTTTTCTTCCCTTCCTCAATCTTAAATTGATCTTTAAAAGATGAGGGGCCAGGGATATAGCTCAGCCACACAGCACCTGCCTATAAAGCATGAGGTCATGAGTTTGATTCCCGGTACCAAAAAAAAAAAGTCACACATAAAAAATGAAAGCGTTCCTCTTCTTTCCCTTGAAGAAATGTAAACTAGGCCGGGGGAGCATGACTAAAGCCAAGGGAAACACATGTATCTAGTGACTAAGTTTAATAATAAGTAGCTAGAAAGTAAGATGAGAATCCTGTAGTAGCAAGAGATCGTGACTAGAGGTAAAACCTTGAAAGACTTTGTAGGTCATGTAGAGGAATCTAAACTAACGTCATGGTGATGTTCAGTGAAGGTCAAACTTGTACAATGGAAAGATTTCCCAGTCCCCATTTGAAGATCAAATTGTGGGAAGGCAGACTGGGGTAGGAGCAGAAAAACCAGTTAGTGGAAGAGTTACTTGAAGTTGCATTTGTACAGCATGCACGATATGCTTGCTTAGCTTCTATATATGTATTTATAACAGGTCTAAGGGGAGAAATAATTCTGCTCAGACACCATTTTACACAAACCCTACCACCTTTTGATATCAGAACTACCGAGGAAAGTTATGTGAATTTGAAGCAACAGCAGTGGAAGAATAAAAAATGTGCTTTAAAATGGAACAGTAAGAGCAGTGGGCTTAGAAGTGGGAAGTCAGAGAAGAGTGCTCAGATCTCTACATTTTTCAGACCGGCTCACAGTTCTATCAGTTCCCCACTGCTGTTGCAACAAATCGCCAAACACCTAGTGGTCGAATGTATGATTTTATAGTTCTGAAGGTCCGAAGTCCAAAGTGAATCCTACGGGGTTAAAGTCAGGTCTGGCCCCTTCTGCAAGCTGTAGGGGAGACTCTGTCTCCTTGCTTTGCCACCGGTGAGAGGCCACCTGCATTCCTTGGCAGTGTCCTCCTGCACTTTAAAGCTCGCTCTGACATGTGTGTCATCACACTTGTGTCTCCTTCCCTGATTTAGTCTCCACCATGCTCTGACACTTTGAAAAACCCTAGCAGTTACATGGAGCCCGCCTGTGAAATCTCCTGTCTCAAGATCCTTGTCATAATCACATCTACAAGGTCCCTTTTGCCATAATGAGGGGCAATACTTAGCCTCCCACAGTGGTCGTGTCACACACCTACTGAGATACCAGCAGACGGTGGGTATGGCGGCACACATCTGTAATCCCAGAACTCTGGTAGGCTGAGGTAGGAAGGCTTGCTAGATCAAGGCCAAGCTGGGAACTTTGTGACTTAGCTAGACCCTGTCTCAAAAAATAAGAAAGGGCTGATGATGCAGCTCAGTGTGGAGGCTCCAGATCCCACCTCCAGTACTACCAAAACAAAAACAAACAACCCACGCCAC